GAGTGCAATATGACAGCCTTTATTGGTAGTTGATTGGACACTCGACATCTACATAAATGACATCATACTGCACTTCACATCTACATAAATGACTCCAATTAACTACCAATAAAGTCTGTCATATTGCACTCGACATCTACATAAATGACTCCAATCAATTACCAATAAAGGCTGTCATATTGCACTCGACATCTACATAAATGACTCCAATCAACTACCAATAAAGGCTGTCATATTGAGCCTTTATTGGTAGGTGATTGGAGTCATTTATGTAGATGTCGAGTGCAATATGACAGCCTTTATTGGTAGTTAATTGGAGTCATTTATGTAGATGAAGAGTGCAATATGTCAGCCTTTATTGGTAATTGGTGCAATATGCACTTGACATCTACATGAATGACTCCAATCAACTACCAATAAAGGCTGTCATATTGCACTCGACATCTAGATAAATGACTCCAATTAACCACCAATAAAGGCTGTCATAATGCACTCGACATCTACATAAATGACTCCAATCAACTACCAATAAAGGCTGTCATATTGCACTCGACATCTACATAAATGACTAGGTGATTGGAGTCATTTATGTAGATGTCGAGTGCAATATGACAGCCTTTATTGGTAGTTAATTGGAGTCATTTATGTAGATGAAGAGTGCAATATGTCAGCCTTTATTGGTAATTGCATCTACATAAATGACTCCAATACCAATAAAGGCTGTCATATTGCACTCGAAGTTGATTGGAGTCATTTATGTAGATGTCGAGTGCAGTATGACAGCCTTTATTGGTCATTGATTGGAGTCAATTATATAAATGTTGAGTGCAATATGACAGCCTTTATTGGTAGTTAATTGGAGTCATTTATATAAATGTTGAGTGCAATATGACAGCCTTTATTGGTAGTTAATTGGAGTCATTTATATAAATGTTGAGTGCAATATGACAGCCTTTATTGGTAGTTAATTGGAGTCATTTATGTAAATGTTGAGTGCAATATGACAGCCTTTATTGGTGGACAACTTCAGTGGAAAACAAAATCACATCAAAACTAGCCATTAAGGTTTTAGGTGTAGTATATTTCTAAAATTGAAGACAACCTTAAAAATGGAGTCTCAGGATGGTACATGTAGTGTAAGTGCTTCAGCTATGTACCCACTAAGGTTAGTTGAAAAAGTCACAAGTTGATAATATGTTAGACAACAGGGCAGTTAGGTTTAAGAATGCCATGAAGAAAGTTGGAGATAACAGATATGGTTTTAAGTCTCTGTGTTGTGATAAATGCATAACTTGTTTTGGAATATGTAAGGTTAGGATAAAGAAAGTTATTTATATTCTATAGCAACTATGTTAATTATATGATTTAAAATGAGTCAACAAACACACCATAACTTGTTTTGGGGTGGAATAAAGTGATAACTTTGAAAGGTGGAAAATTTGGGTTTATGTTAATTACATATTAAAAGCAAAGACAAAGAAAGTTATGTAACAACCTGTTACTATAATTTTAATTTATAAAATTAATTTTCATGACATCCTTATTAAAAAGTGGTGAAACTGTAAATGTTAAAACTAAATTGTAAAATATCTTTGTGTAATTTTGTAATGGACAAAACAAAATGCTGCTACAAACAAGGTCAAACAAAACAACTGATTATGTATAACACCAGAAATCCAAAAAAAACTGTCAAACAACTAGAATATAAATTCTATCACTTGCAAAACAAAAAAATTAGTAAACCCATGCATGGCCAGGACTAGGTACAAATGTTAATAAACAATACAACATTAATCTCAATGTGATTAATTTCAATAAATATCAAAATAATTTGGAAAAGGAACCAGAAGAATAAAAATCTAATTCACCAGAGGATAATGCAATGTTTCAAAATTAAACCACTTCTTAATATCCAAAACAGTATTAAGCAATAATTCTTTCTAACGATATCTCGTGATCTAACTCATTCTTAAGATAGGGAAAGCTTTTTATTTGGTGTTTAGACCATATACTCTTTCACAACATTAATATTTGTATGTCACCACTAGGGAAAGCTTGTGTCAGTTTTGTAATACATATATACTCAGAATTAATGTGCTCTAGATAGAAGGTGAGTTACCACTTTAACGTAACTAAAAATTCATAGTTTGACTGAAGGAATAATAAATGAATGGTTAAAAAACCATAACAAAATAAAAGTAGAAAACGTTAGTGTTCAAGTTCTCTAATGCATTGCGATAAGTAAACATTATAGCATACTTAGTGTGAAATACTTATATTAGTAAATTGTAACTTTAAAACTAAGATCTTCTGTTTTATAGTAAACCTTCAAGGAAAATGTTTGATTGATGAAACTAATGTTTAAATCAAGATTGTGTGCATCATTCGTATATAAACTTTTTTTTTCAGTTATTAGATCTGTTGGGTAGTTATGCTTAGCCGTGTCATTGCTATATCTGCATGTTATGTTAGTTTGTAAAGCTTTAGGTAGTATTTTCTGAAATTGTGTGATGTATCAATTTTCAAGTTCAAAAGAAATAAATTTACTGCTTGTATACAAGTTACTACCCATCTGTATGTCCTCTATCTGTTCACGAGTCCAATTTGGATCAATCGCCTCCTACTCCTTTTCTTTGATTAGGCACTTGTTGTTTGTAGAGATTTTGGGGGTTTCCTCTGTGCCCTCTACTCCTCCCTTGTTGGTGGGGAGGGGGACTATTTAGTTTTTCTTACTTCACATGATATTCCTGGTTCATGCTGAGAGATTTACTGCTTTATTATGTTTGCATGCTTTGGATTTCAACCTCCTGGTGGACATATATTTCAATTCCACAGATTAAAATGTTTTTTTTGGATATGTGTAGTTCCAGGATGGTTCATGTGATGACGTTGAACTGATCACATTTTCATGTATTTGTTTGATCCTCACTCTTGCTCCATCATGTTTATAACCCCTTCCCTTGAAAATTGTTGGCAGCCTATCAATGGTTCCTACATCAATTTACAGATGAATGGGGTCTTCTACTGACTTTTACCTTGGTCAGATTGACTGCTTCTGTTCCTTTTGTAGAGGTACCTTGGTGGAGGGAGCTTGTCTACCTGCTGTAGCCTCTGTGTTACATATGGCTTCCTTTTATCATCAGTTGATGTTTGTGGGTGTCCCAGAGGTGTTTGTATTGTGAATTGATGTCACCCATTTGTTTTTTTGTTGTTGTTGACCTCTAGACCTTATTTGGCTCCAGCAGCTGCATAGCTTCAGACCTTAGTTTCAGAGCCCCTCCATTCAGACCAATGATGTCAACGGCATTGGTATCTGCCTAGATGGGGGGTCAGTTAAAGTGAGGTTACAACTATTGATAGACGTCTAGTATTCATTCACAGCTAATCCATGGGTACTTCAGGTTCTGGTATTAAGGCTGGTCTTTTCATTCAGTTCTCCACCTCCATTGTCTTCCCACCTTATGGTATTTCCACACCCACCTGAACAGTGGGGTGTGGATTTTAGTTTCACGGCTATCAGAATTACTGATCACAGGGAGTGGTAGTGACAGTTGATCCCATTCTTCTGGGATTTTATTCCTGTTTATGTATTGTGCCTGAGACAAGGGAAGATTTGCAGATGATCATCATTTTTTCTCATCTCAACCCATTCTTTGTTTCTCCCCAGTCCACAATGGAGTTCTTTCTCACCTACATTGGTATTCTTCACCAGGTCCTTGGATGCCCAAGTTTGAGGTTGCTGAGGTATTTCTCCACATTCTCATAGTGAATTCATCTTGCCTTTAGTTATGTTTCATGTACAGAGATTAGGTTCTACAGTTTAGAGATCTAGCCTTTGGTCTAGCATCAGCACCATACGTCTTCTGTTAGGTTGTACAAGTTTTCACCATGTTTTAGCCCAGCTCAGCCACCTTCCATCCAGCTCCAGGCTGTGATACAAGCAGTCAGACTTACTTAAAGGGATGGTTCTATCTCTTTGGGTTTATGGACCTCCCTCTAATCTCTGAGTTTTTGGGGATTAGGGCACATGCTATCCCTTCAATAGTCCCAGTGCGACTAATGGATCTGGAACTTCAATTCACTGGATCTTCCAGTCTCTTTCATCAGGAGCAACATTTTAGTTTTTGAGTGGTGGTTTGTTTGGATCAATCCTACCATTAACATATGTGTGGGTGTAAATGTATACTGCCTATCTGTTCCGAGTTTGTCTCTTCACAGATACTTCACTTCAGGGGTGAGGTGTGAATAATAAAGGTCGGGTAATCCAGGGTATATGAACAGAGGACAAATTTTCATTCTGCAACAATAATTTAGATCTTCTTGCTGTCCAATAGTGCAACGTCTAGATCTCTAGATACTCAAGAGACATTTTATCAATTCTACAGTGGTCTCTTAAATTTTCTGTCATGGAGATATGCATTCTCTGGGCTGTTGTTTTTGAAATTTGGTTCTTTCTCTATGGGACTTTTTCCAACCATATCAACCTCCTGGCTTGTCATTTTCCTGGGGTAATGAATTTCTTAGCAGATTCTCATTCTCAGCTCTCACTTTCTCCTGACCAAATGGATTCTCCTTTGTGAGGTTTTCCAATAGCTTTGCTCTCAGTTCGGGCCTCCGATGATCGCTTTTACCACTCATTTATACTCTCAACTACAAGCTTTGGAGGCTCCAGTACCTCATCCTCAGGCTTGGGTGGAAGATGAATTCAGTCCAGCTTGGATGGGATTTCACATCTATGCCTTTCCCCCAATTTATCTGTTACTCAGAGTTCTGGCTACATTTCAACCCTCTACTTGTGAGCTGTTGCTACCCCAGATTGGCTGGCCTAACCATGATTTCCTCTTCTACAGTACCTTCAAGTAAGTCCACCTCTGCATCTTCCTCTTTGGTTATCTTTATTGGGCATCCTGAATCCCACAATATACACCAAGACATTTCCAAGCTCATTGGGATTTAATCTCTAAAGTTGTCTGGGGTGTACCTCACAAGGAGTTTGTACTCACTTTACCAAATGTACCAACCATATCTTGTTTTTACCTGGTTTTCACTTGGGGTCTGTGTCTCCTGTTCTTTAGGTCAGGCAACTTTTTCAACTACTCTTAGTTATTCTAAACATCTGAAGGTTTTGGACTCCCGAGTGCTATCCAGCCTTCTTCCTAACTGGCCTTTTCAATTACTTAACCGGGATATTAAGGTGGTATTACATTCTTTGTCTTGACAACCTTTCAAGCCTTTAGCCTCACGTACCATGTACCACCTTTCCTTTAATGGGTAGTTTTGTTGCCGCTGATATGCTGATGTCATAGGTTGGAGTTGTTGGCATGTTTGTAGGACTCTTTTTATCTCTCCCCTTAGGATCTGCTATACCCTGATAGGTCCTTTCTTTGTAAGTCTCTGGCAACCAGGGAAGAGGCTACATCCTTCTCCACAAATCTTTTGCCATCTATATCTCACCTCTGCTATCAATTGTACGCTGATCGTTTGTTTTGTCCTGTCAGGCCCAGCGGTGTTATGTGGCTCACTCTAACTCCTTTCGTGGTAATAGTCTCGACTCTGTATTTTTCTAGAACCTTCGGTTTCCTGAGATTTATCCCCATTTCTTTAGAGGTGGATTTGCAAATATCCATGTTGCATATTCTGGACTTTACAGGTGAGGAATCTTCTGAGACTTACATCTCATCAGATTCAGCACATTTATGTCTTTTGCTGCCCATTTCATTTATCCACTGGGGGACATTTTACAGGCCAGTATGTGGACTTCTCCCAATGCTTTTCTCTCACATGAATGCTTTTCTTTACATGATCTGGAGGTTTTTCTACTGCCCCCATGGCTGTTTTAACAACAACTGCTAAAGGGTGTACTTTTGTCATCATCTTGTATCTTTATTTTCCAGGGCCCCTTACATCTTGCTTTCACTGGATCCCACTCTGTGGTGAGTGTTACCCAGACAGGTGTGCTTTTATCAGTCCAGTTCTGCATTAGCAACCAATTTCATTATACTTACTACTGGTTGCAACAGGCTCTGTAGAAATGAGTTGTTCCATAAGACCATCTAGGTGCTTACCAGATGATGTTACCACATTATCATGGGCTATCATGAGTAAAGCTAAAGGGGATTTTGCCTGTCCCCGTCGATCATTGGATTGAATAAATTTGGGTTGGTTTGCTTTTAAATATTTAGGGAACTTGGTTCACCTATTGCACTGTTTCCAGAGCACTATTCATCAGGGCTCCCCAATGCACATTACCCCCCTAGGTTCTACTAGTGTAGCTAGGGAGTCCTTACCACACCCAGTTTCCAGTCACTGGTATGGTGGACAGAGGCTTTTCCTCCAGAGTGTTAGAGTGTGTTCCTCCACACTTGGAGAAGAAGGTGTAGATGGGGCCCTTCTACCCATGTCTCTGAATGTTTTTCCCAGATGTCAGTAGGAGTGGCACCAGCCTCCGTGGGAGCCTACTTGTAATACCAGTTCAGATTTGACAGTACACTATCCAGTTGGGGTGTGCATGACCCTTCTATTTGATCAATGTTGGTTTAGTATATTGTTCATGGAAGAAGGTCCACTATATCCTCATAATTTCAAATCCTAGGTCCTTCGTTGAGCACAATGTTCCACATCCTCTCCATAATTTTAGGAACAAGTGGAATGCTCCTTGTCCAATTGGTTGATGAGTGAGAATGAATGTTCATAATTCCAGACCTAATGAGTTCTGTTCCTTTTGTTGAGTAAGGCATACACGATCCCATCATTCCAAGCCTGGGGTGGTGCCTTTCAGACTTCTTCAGGTGGAAGAGAAAGTTTGTCCACTTCAGTGTTGCTTCCTTTCTCATTGTGATTCTTGTGGTTCAGAATGCATCACTCTATGGCTACAGGTTGGGGTCTAATCACAAGAATATCTATATATAAATCGTGGTCCAATTGTCCTAGCCACCAATGTGAGATATAGGGACCAAGATCCCTTAATTCCAACCCCGAGTTGTGGAACCTCGGGTATCTGGTTGGGGCTGGCCTATAATGATTACTCATGTACTGTACCACCCTTGATGCAGGTACTAAGTTCTGGGTGAAGAGCATACCTGTTTTGGATGTAGTGTGGTTCCCCCACTTGGGTACCACTCTTATCTGGTACATCCCTGTTCTATGCAGATGCTTTCTGTATAAATAATGCCTGCACCGGCTTCTCCACTTTCTCAATGTGAGATTCTAGCTATAAGTGAGAGCAGAGGTATGTATGTTTTGGAAGTTAACATTTTCCTGAGCCGAGAATGTATTTTCAATAATACTTACCTTCGCTGACACTCTTCTACCCTTTCACCCCACTAAGAGCCAATGTTAGTGACTGGGATGGTGTAAGTGATTACATTATCAGAGTGAGATGCTTATTTACAGTACATTGACATCAGTGGGGGGATTTACAAATTAGATATTGTCAAGGGCATTTAAGTGGAGCATGTGAGACCAATGCTTAGATAGGCAAAGCCAACATCGAGGAATAGCTAAAAGTGTCAGTGGAGGTAAGTATTATTGGAAATACATTTTCAGTTTAGGAAAATGTTAACTTATAACATCTTCCCTTATGAGACTTTCACATATTTGTAAGAAATCAATCCTCTACAACTTAAAGAAATTTATCACCATATAAAGAAAACATACTCCAACAGTCAAATTCTCTCAAGTTAATGTCACTCACAATAACGAGTCTGCTTCTTTTGACAACATAATGAATCAACCTGAATATACTTATATAAAAGCCAAAAACTTGATCAGAGTGTCTGAAAAATTCCATTTTCTTTTTCACTTAGAAATATCATTTGAAACACTCATGAGTCATCACACTTTGAGATACCACTTTTCTTGTACATTTTTATCTCATTTCTTACAAACAAGATTATTTCTTCTCTCTCTTTCCTTTTTACATGCACATTCCTTGTGAAATACTGTAAAACCTTAAAATATCATCTTGGTAACCTTAACTTATCAAGATTCAATATTACTAATGGCATCTAATGTGTTAAGTGCCACCAGATTGCCTTATGTTCTAGTATCATTAGGAAATTGCCACAGGTTTTAGCCTTCACTTGATTTTGCTGTTACTTGATGGTGAGCTGTTGAAATATTCAACTTGTGTATGGTAAAAATCTCAAGTATATCCAAAGATTCTGTCCATTGACTAGTTTTCAGGTGTTTATTGATATATGCAAGTTTAATAAATGCTGGGTTTTTTTGTTCTTGTTGGAGTTACTGAGAGCCTTTTTTTAAGTCTGTTAATTTATGATATTTATTATAATTCATCTCTATCAAAATTATACAGTATACAAAACACTAATCAATAACAAAATTATAGAATATTAGCTTTTAACACATACTATAACTTGCTGTATTAATCTTTAAATCCCTGTCTGCTGAGTTTCTCAGGACTTTCGTATTTACAGTTGAAAATATTTATGTTAAATAGAACAGTGTTTACTGTTATGATGTGAAATAGTGATTTATTTCAGTTTCATTCAAAATATATGAAGTTTTATGAAAACTGCCTGTTAACTGACATATTAGATGACTTTTGTAAAAAATGCTCAATTTATTAAAAAATAGGGAATAACCAGAAACTTTTACAAACTACATAGAATATTAGTTCAGTAGATTAACGTTTTCCACATGTCTAGTTGATAGTATTGATATTTGCTCTTAACACATTATATATTACAAGTAATTTACAAGAATACAAAATGATTTTCAACAGAATGTATTTGAAAAACAGGAATGAAACTCTGTTTTCAGAAGATATAGTGCAAGAAATGAAAATATTTACCAGACTTCTTTTGCAACTAAATTAAAACTTTGAGAAATGTTTATAGTAAATCAAACAAATGTAAAATTCATTCAAAATGAGAAATTTTAAATAAACAATACAGTCAAGGTAAAAGTAGTAAAATATTTAGAGAAAAGCTCTTAATTGTTAGATTTTTTGTTTATTATTCTAATTAACTTCAATTTTTGATTTTAAAACATATGTGAAAATTCATTATGTAGAAATTTCTCCATTAAAGTTATGGCCTTAAAATACAAACAAATTTCTACATTAAAGTTATGGCCTTAAAATACAAACAAATTTCTACATTAAAGTTATGGCCTTAAAATACAAACAAATTTCTACATTAAAGTTATGGCCTTAAAATACAAACA